TCCAGGTCCTCATCTTTGTTAGACACTAGGGAAGTTATAAAACTGTAGAATGTGGATTTAATGTAAAAAGGCAGAAGTGAGAATAATTAGTATGTTGTTGATGCTGTAGCCCCAAATATTTCTCAGTCTCTGCCAGTGATTAATCCTTACCTCTCTGTGTGTCTCTTTTGTGCAATATGGATGATAACAACACCTACCTGTATGAGGCAAGGAACATAAAGCTTGTAAAGTATGTAAAAAGAGATTTTTAAAAGTATTTAGTGATAAGAGATGCAGGGAGGTGCTTTTGAAAATCCCACTGTCTAGCTGTATCTTCAGCTATTTAAATACCTTAAGAAGCATGGCTTTGGGGAACTTTGGCTAAAAAAGAACTCTACAAATATTTTGTCATCTTTTTATACAAATTTTCTTAACAGTTTAAAACCATATTTTCGAAGACAAAATTGAACATTCTGCAGTCTTTGAATAAAATATGCAGGGCCAAATCCTGTTTAAATCCACACAGATGCTTAGGGACTATTCTAATTCCTGGAGAAATCCTCTGGAGTTTTTCCACTGACATTCATACGAAATGGACCAAATTCTTCTTAAGCAAAATCGGGTAAACATTAACATTTGCGCAATAATCTCCCACAGACTTCAATAAAACCTTTGTCTGCACTAAGAGTTCTGGTTCTGGTGCCATGCCTATGTTGTGCTTGCTAAAGGACACAATTTCTGGAGCTTCTGCAAAATACTTCCTGCCTATAACATCTGATGAACTGGCAAGTAAACAGGCCAACAAAAGAAGCACATATTGAGAAAAGAGGCAGGCTGGCTATTAGATAGTTTATCCTGGTTAGAAACCATGAACTGCATGGTGAATCTCTGAAAATTGGCACATCTTATAGGAAAGACAGTAAAACTCCCTGTTTCTAGTCTAGAAGTGTCTCACTCACTTTAACTAAGGGAACTGAATTTTCTTTAATTTCTTACATGCTGCAGACAGTCACTGAAAACTATAAAACCACCCAGAGATAATCACAATTATTTTCTCCTGTTTTCTAACATGCTGCATGCTTTTACACAATAGGGATGCGCACTATTGCTTCATTTTTTTGATTTGATGCTTAGGAGCAGAATCTGATCTTTACTGGCATAAATGAAGTTACTCTGGGTTTACATCATTGTAACTAGGATCAGAGTCTGTCCCTATCTTATCCTCTGAACTATGTGGCTGGCTGATCTAAAAGTAACTTAATGATACTGCTGCTCTTCAAATATGACTTACAATATAGATTTAGCACAGGTAGCAAGGATGTCATACCCAGATCCCCAGGACACAGGGGTCCTTGTGGGATCGATCCAGATATGGCAGTGGGGTAAATAATGGCAGCTGCAGGGGTTAAGGTAGCTGTTGCTCAGCCAACATGCATTCCCAGCAGGGCTCCATACCTTGGATTTGGTTGGCTCCCCCCCTCCCATTCACCATGACCTGTAAATTGCAAGAGACTCTGGCATCCCTGTCAGTAAGATGACACAGCTCTGTGGGCCAAATCCATCCCACAGGCTGCATGTTTGACACCCCTAAGCTATAGCAAGAGAAAAAAAAATGAAGAGCCCAATTCTTTTGTTGCTCACTGCTGTGAATAGGAAGTAACTCCCTGAAATTAAGAATAGGACTGAGAGTAGAATCTAGCCCCAATCAATACATTTATGACATGGCTAATTCATTATCCATCTCTTAATAATTTCTTGTTATTTTTATAGTCTTATTAATGGCTCCTTTCTTCAGCATATACATATATTTGAATATTCCTTATGGTCTCATCTTTACGTTTTGTGTGTTCAATTCCAACCCCAAGCTTAAAAGTTATGCTTCTTTTTTTCTAGAATTCTACAGTTGAATTGTGTTTAAATAGGCAAAAAATATCTGCATTCCTCAACCCTACCCTGCCTGCCTGCCTGTGCCTCTGTGACAAGGAATTTATGCTGAATGCAATTGTTCCTCATTCCTTAATCATGACACTGGCAAATGTATTGTACATAGGTGGAATGAGGCTGGATGAAGGGAAAACCCACTGCTGCAAAAGCAGGAATAGTAAGCTTTGGGGAGAAAATTTAAATATTTAAATATAGAAAAGTGTACGTTTCTTTTAACATTGTCCCTGAAGCATACTATAAAGCAAAAGTCCCAGCATTCTAGAGAGCTTCAAACACAGAGCACAAAGCAAACTTTGAGATAGTGCAAACATAGGCAGCGTGTCATTTAATTCTTATACCTCAAAGAGGGCTCTGTAAAATGAAGCTAACAACAACAGGCCTTCAACACAAATTTTACCTTTAAATCTCACTTTCTCTCTTTCCCCAGTTTCACTTTATCTTTCAACCCCTCTGTCTCAACTAAGATATTTCCAAGCTCCTTAACCCTTTGTTTCACAAAGTCCTAGAAATACCTCCTCTACCCAACAAGTGGGGAGTAGAAAGCATTAGAACAGAAGAAGAGGCTGGGACACAAAAACAGGGATTCTAAAAAGGCCCATATCCCCATCAAAGACCCTCCCTTCTACAACACTGTCCTCACTCAAGTACAGCAAACTGGTCAGCATGGGATGGACTTTAATTTATTTTAAGAAAAAAGCTTGACTGATCATTACCTTGTCCACCAAAACAGTCCAACTTCTAAGAGGCTGGATC